CTATGCTTGTATTATAAATTAACTGCAAGTAAGTGATAAATATAATAATAATAATAATTGACTTTATTCCCATACAAAATGATATACATGAGCATTCACTACATGAGAGTAAAACAAAAAAATTTCTTTTTAAGATATCTACAGGAAAAAACAAGAGGAGAAAAGAGAAGAAAGAAAGTGAATTTTTTAACATCAAAAAGAAATTTAATAGGGAAAGGGATTCTCTATGCACTAAGCATACAGCCCTGAGTTAAAGTGTAGCTTTAGTTTTTTTTTTTTCATCATTTTTGTATATTGTATCTTGAATTGTTATAAATCATTATCATTAGGTCATTAAGAAATTGCAAATAAAAACAAAGGATTATTGTGCATAACTAACCAACGAAACCATACCTTCGTTTCTATTGGCTATTTCTTAATTATACAATAATAGTGAGGTAATTATGATGGTATAAACCTATCATTACTGATTACTCATTAGTTACGGTGGACATTAATAGTTAATTTTATACAAATAAACAATTAAATAAATTAGATAATTAAATTTACGTTACATGTTGGACACGGTGTATAGCCTAATTATACACCATGTGTTGAAGTCTTTGTACCTATAGGTAGGCAACTTATTTTACACCGCATCAATCGCTAGGATATTTGTTTTTCTCCTTCGACTGTCAAGGATTTTAACCACGGTCGGTGATTGTAACCTACATTGATTCGACAATCACCTATCAATTAACAGTTAATTAATATTTCACAATTGATTCTCCCAAACTCTACCAATGACTAAGTTGCCAAGGCCCCCCAAGTCACATATCCGCGGACTCCGTCCCTGTCCATTTTTTTTGCTCTTTATGTGACTGGGTGCAGGAATTGGCGTAACATCTTGATACCGCATTAATAATGATTAATGATTGTCATTAATTTCGGAAAGTTTTAGGAATTATGAAATGTAAAAGGATTTTCAGAAAATAGGAGGAATCGGTTACATTCGGCTGATAATTTCATAAGCGGTGGTGGGCGATACACGTAACATGCACCTACTACGTAGCCTCCGCAGTCATTCCCAGTTTTGTTGATTTATAAATAGAAATGTTATATTTAACGTTAACTTAGGAACACTATTTAAGAGTTTAACTTATTTTTTTACATATTTTGATAAACTAATGCACAATAATACTACTGTGATTCGTAATTAGTGACTGGATACGTACGAGTGTTATTAAAATGATCTGTGTTTGAAGATTACCATGAATGTTTAAAGTGGGCGTGTATGCTAATTTGTGGTGCCGTTTGTTAACCGGAAAAATCGCACAAAATGATATCGAACGGACAATTAATTGGTGATGGATCGTGGAACTTACGAGTGTACGTTACCGACTTACAAACGGAACGTGTACTTCGGGTTAAAGGAGATTTACATGTTGGGGGTGTAATGCTAAGGCTAGTTGAGGAATTAGGTAAGCGAGTATTGACCCATAGCATAAATTCCGTCGCTTCCCCTTTCAATTGTCATTTTATTATTATTATCGCCGATTGGAAGAGTAGGTATCAAATCAATTTTACTCGATCACATTCACGTCTTCAAATGGTAATGTAAAATGATCTAAGTAGGCGTGCTGTTTAGGCGGCACTTGCCATTAATTGGTCAGATGAACATGACGTAATCCAAATATTTCTAATCCAGCATGGAAAGAAATATGTAGGTTTTTATTATTAAACATTTACTCATATCATACAAATATAAATAATGGAACTGGGACGAAATGCCTGTAGGTTGTCATTTTTATTCTTGTGGCAGAAGATATACCGGGTGTTTTAGTTGCACTGCACACTGATTACAACTTGGAATAAGTAGTTTTATTCACTCATTTCAATATTAACGGTACTACAAGGACTATGCTACTAATGCATACTTGATAGATAGATATGCTCGTGACCTCGATTTTGTTTTGTTTTTGCCCACTTAGCAGCATTCAATAATTTATTGTTCTGGTTCTGGTCATAACTATTCCAATTCAGACAAAAAGTACGATAAATCGCAGCTCTATTGCCTAACTAAATGTACCGCCAAAGACATGTTTATCCACTCTGCTCAATGACATTACCTGTGCACAAGAAAGTACAAGTGACATGGTAGCAACATAGCATTGATATTTGATAGCTGTCAATCTTCGTCGTTTTAACTTTGCGCTTACTGTCGCATTTCTGTGCGTTTCTTACAAATCAATATTTACGTTTTTTTCGAGTGTTTATATGGTATGTACGTGAAGGAAAAACAGCTGGCATTAAATTGACAGTTGACATCAAACCTTACTTACTACTTTATCAACTTGTCTACTAACAATTTTGGATTTGCCTATCATACCTATGCCAATTATATCTGTCATATCATATGAGATATATAAAGCAGTTTATGACGTCCGAGGGCATAACGAGGGGCATAATTGATTGTACCCTCATTATGCCCTCCCGTCAAGTATATATTGATGGAGTTATATTGTGTATTAACTGAAAAGAGTATGACGTGACCCAGCGACCCAGTGACCCAGTTTAATTTAGTGACCCAGGTGACCCAGTCCAACTCTGATGGCAGTACCTCGATAGCCTTTAATACTTAAAACTACAGGCCTTTGGTGAAGCATGCATTCAATTAGTTAGTCCCTCCCAAACTAACTGAACCCCATGGCACATGATCGTCTAGCTAGACAAATCTACCTAATCTGAATAACAAAATACTAGGACCACCTACTACGTTGTGTTTTTAAAAGTTGCTACAAGATATGTGTTGCCTGTCGGAGTGAGGATCAAGTAAGAAATAGAAATAAAACAAGTACATGCTTAAAAACGGAAATTTAATAAAATAAATCGCATTGCAAGATTAAATTTTAGTTCACCCCGAGGGGTAAACCGCTGCTTGAAGTAGGTGTACAAGCAATTTGAAGTACGCTGAAGTACAATGAAGTACGATGAATTACGTGGAAGTACGCTGAAGTACGTTGAATTCCACTGAAGTACAATGAATTACTTTGAAGTACGGCGAATTTCACAGAAGTACGCTGAAATACATTTCGATTCCAATTTAATGCAATAAATAAAAATGTTTTACGAAAATCGATCTTTGTCTAGTGCAAGGTGAAATAAAGGAACCTAAAACATATATTTTTTTAATACAATTACGTTGGTCATTTTTTTAACTCCAATGTAAAAAATTGCATCATACTACAATGATCTTTGATCGAGAGTAGCACCGTTAAGTTTTAAGTTAAGAACATATAGGATTATCTTTTCGCAGTTCTATTTTAAAGACTTGTTAGAATAAGACTTTACGATTTTGCAACTTGCCCGTTGCTTCATTTCGGCTTTTAGGATAATCCCTTATTTGGCAAATTTAAGACTTGTCATTTAGATTACGTGTCACTAAGAGACCTTTTTGAATAGTGTTGTTTTTATAAGAAATAATTTTGTGTCGACCGAGGTGTCGACTGACAGCCGACCATTGTCAACAACGTGGGCGACAATGTGCTGATCTCGGTGCAAATTTATTTGTAAAAAGTAGCTTTTAATCTCACTTTGGCTGGCTGGCTGGCTGCAAATGTGGCCGCGTAGAAGAACTCTTGTAGAAAGGCAACGGGTGTACGTGTATCTACAAGGCCGTGAAATTTGTCAACCTTAGGGACATGGCTACATGATGTGGGGCTGGCGACATCTGGGCGTCATCCTCGAGCGTAGTATACTAACGTGAAGGTTTTTCAGTTTTTTCCTATCTTCTACTACAGTTTTGGTTCGATTCTTTTCAAATTGGTGTCGTCGGAAAGATGTTGTAAACGCGCACAACTCCTGCGTGGCGGAATTTTGTTTTTGTCCTAGAGGCGAAATTAACGACCTTTTGCGAGGCGCGCGCGCGCGTCTTCGAGAAGTAGTCGACTTCGGGCGCCTTTTATCTTCCGTTGCGAACTCACGCGGTTTAACGTTTCGTAAATCTCGAATCGCTGTCTCTCTTTCTCGTGTCGCCAATAGAAGCGAATTGCGGGTGGGTGAAGGGGACGTCGGAAGTGGCTACCGTCAAAGGGAATGTGGTAGCCCCCGACACGATTTTAACTTTAAAAGCGAATTGCGGGTGCACGCGGAAAATGGGAAACGGTTAGTGAATGTAGTAGCCTTCGACAAGATCTGTTATTGTTGGTTGAGTCGAAAGTGGCTAATAGAATACTGATCTGCCACACAAAAATGCGCTGAAGTCCCTTCGATCTCACACGAGAACTTTGATAACCGTTGAGTGATAAATAGTAAGAGGCGCAATTATATGTAAAATTGCGTTCCAGGTTCCAGCTCGCATACAAATTTCAACAAATGAATATGACTTGCACCCATGTTGACGGAGGGTGGTAAACGTGTGATTCTTATGCGTGACGTTTAAGCATAAGAATCACACGTTTACCACCCTCCCACAACATGGGTGCAAGTCAAATTAATTTACTGAAATTTGTATGCGAGCTGGAACCTGACTCGCAATTTTACATATAGTTGCGCCTCTTACTATTTATCACTCAACGGTTAAAACATAACGGGATTTTGTAAAAGCGAATATATAAAATCATATAACAAAGTAACATTCGTACTTGATTTGGAAAAAAACGAGGGAATCAAGTACTCGTATAATAACGAGTATACAGACGTATGCTGCGTAAAAACATAGTATATGTCTGTTTACGAGAATATACCAAATTTGGAACAATTAAAATGTACTAACATAGTTATAAGTAGGTTAAATTGCACGAAAACAACTTGAAGTACGCTGAATTACGTGTGAATTACATTGAAGTACGGTGACTTACTTTGAAGTACGGTGAATTACTTTGAAGTACGGTGAATTACTTTGAAATACGGTGAAGTACATTGAAGTACGGTGAATTACTTTGAAGTACGGCGAATTCCGGAAGTACGGGATGTAAGCTGAAGTAAGTGTACAAATTATTACCAGCGGTTTACCCCTCGGGGAGAGCGGAAGAAATAATAATTTGCAGCGAGATCTGCAGTGTTCCATGTCAAATACCACGTCGCTGTAGAAGATTTTCATCTGTTAACCTTCGCCATCGCCTTCGCCTAAGAACGCATAAGTATGTCCAAATTTTAGTTACTTTCGGTTGAGGTTATTTTTTACATGGCCCGTAAAAAAGGTACATACTGTATTGACTGACATTTTTAATTGCAAATACAACGATGTACAGCACATAAAAAAAGTTGGAAACTGCTGGTTTCAACAGGATGGTGCACCTGCGCACAACCCCTACTCGTGTGAGAAATCTAACATATTTTTCATTTTCTAGGAAATTTTCTATAGATAAACTCGAAAACGAAACTGGCCTACAGTCTTTTGTTTTTGAGTTATGGGCAAAAGCGAGGGCAAAGTTTGCAGTTTTAGTTTTTTAGATAAAAGCCCGAAGCCTATAACTTCTTTTTTATTACGTTATCGGAAATGTGTTTATTACAAAAGTTTCTTTGTAATGATTGTTGCATAATCTGCCGTTTTCAAAATAAAGGGGGTCAGCTCGGGGGTCAGGTAAAAAAGTTATCGGACTCAACCTCATTTTTTAAATGGGGCAAATTCAAAAAGATTAAGAATAAATTAAAAATTTTAGATTTACTCTCGGATTTACTTATTTGGGTATTTGAATCTTTTTTAATATCGCCCCTGATGTGCTACAGTTTTGAAAAGAGAATTTAATATGCTGTCTATTTAAATTAAAATATGCAAAGTGTTCCATTAAAAAATGAGGTTTAGATCCGATAAATTTTTTACTTGACCCTGTGCACTTATTTTGAAAACTGTAGATTGTACAATAATCATTTTTAATACACATTTCCGATAACTTAATAAACATAGAAATTATATGCTTTTATCTAAAAACCGAAAAGGCAACTTTTGCCCATAACTCAAAAACAAAAGACTGTAGGCCAGTTTAGTTTCAGCGTCCAGTTTATCTCAAAAAAACCCATCGACACTGCGAGGTCAATCACTTATAGTTTAAGACGAGGTTACCCAATATTAACGACCAAATTTGGTCACCCTGTATAGAGAACATAATTTATATCTCGACGTGAAATTGTCCAATTTTAATAGTTGACACAATTCCGAATACCAACCACGTTTCTCTCGACGTTTCTTTATATTTGATCATCTATGAGCGTGCTATATTGCGTCATACTCGAATTAAGGAAGTCCTCTGACTACGACCCTGAAAGTAGCTACGATTCATCAAAGTGAGGCTTGCTTATTGGGAATTATTCGGAAAAAAATTAAAAAGATGGCTAGAATTTACAGGGGGGGGGGTTACATCAACTACCAGTGAAATACCCCTCGGTCTGAACAACACTTACCTGAAAAATATTTAATGATTGCTTGAAGATCGTCTTCAACGTTCTCACAGAACTTTTTTTAAGTACATATAAGAACCTTCAAAACTTCCAAGATATTCTCTGAAGAAATCAATGGGCGTGAGGAGTTTTATTTTGAAAAAGCTCGTCATTCTAAAAAAAATGTATTATGTATTAACATACTTGGTAAATATCAAGGTGACAGTAAGTATCACCATATTATAAGAATATTTAAGGTGTCTTAAATTGTAGGAAAGCGGATCAGAAGTAACAAAACAATTGAGTACTAAGTACAATCGTGACTTGATGCGACATCGTTGTCTTTTGACCTTGAACGAAACTGTCTAACTTTGTACCCATAAACGAAAACATAAACATTTGCAATGTTGGCATGTCAAATGTTAAAAATATATATAAAACATCATATTTAAATCGCCTTTCCTTATAAAAATACACGTCTTAACGATTTTATTGATCGATATCAATGCAAATTGAATCCCGTATAACAGACGAAAGGGGATATTCGCAACAGTTTCAATCGCCTGTGTCCATGATATTTTTTTCGTATCATCGTTCGTTGCTAACTTTTTTAGGAGGGTCCGTTTTGGTTATACGCATACCGATGATGACGTCATGTTGCTGGGAAATGTTCGTTAAATTTACGCCCCTAATGGCCGTTTTCACCGAAAAATTTAAGCGGCGCTCTAAGCGCAGCTTACAATCTATGGCAACCATTGTCTCAATAATCGTTGTGGTATTTGGGAGTCTTTAATTTAATAATAAAAATCCAAACTTAATTGCAAGTTCGATTGTAAGGTGGCCTACAATGGGCCACTTTCACATTTTTTATTTATGTGATAAATCAATGCGGAACATAAAGAAATACCCGAGGGGTCAACCACAAACAAAAATTTTGTACACCATTGAAAAATTTAATAAATATTTATGGATCTTAAAAAATATTTACCAAATATTTACAAAATTTACCAATATTTACAAAACTTACTAAACATTTACAAAATTTACTAAATTTAATATTTGCTAAATTTACTAAATATTTACCAAATTTACTAAATATTTACCAAACTTACTAAATATTGACAGTTTACTCAACTAAATATTTACATGTACATTTTAGTGTAAGTAGGAATTTTACTCGGAATTTTAGTAACTTCAAGCGTATCATTAAGTAAAACTACGTATTTTGTAAGAACAAATGTAATAGAATGAAACTGGCGAAATAAATCGTCCATTTCTGATAATAATTGTGAATTCCCAACTGACGAAGACATTGAACGAATCTGCATGACTGCTCTCGAAGAAGCACGAAATGATAGTCGCTTGCTAGGAATCACAATAGACTGTACGGATAATGCCTGGTCGAAAATTAATATCAACGGTAGGTGTCCCGAAAACGATGTGATCCAAACTGCTGACAAGGACATTCCTGTAAACGAAGCATTATTAAATGAGAACGAAGCTGAAATTCAAGATGAGTACTTACATGTGCAAAATTATGCAGAAGACGAGAATGAAAGGTCATCGGGTATTGCAGCCCAAATTTATACAAGAGCCAATGAAATTACGGAATTAGCGATCGAAGATGAAAATCAAGAAGAAAGTACTGCAGACCTCGTTGCAGACCATGACTCATTGCTTAATTTAAATGACGACACACTGAATTTGAAGTATTTTGATACAAAAGATGACGTTGAAAATGGACCTTTTGTGAAAATAGTAGTCGGAAAAGAGGTGAAGTCAATACGGAACACAACCTTATGTTGGTTTTTGGATCAAAAACAACACAGGTGAGAATTGAATAGTATGCAAGTTGCAATGCTTGATATTATAAATTGTTTCAGAATCAGTACCGATCGGTTGACGAGATTCAAAACAACACCTTTTGGAGCATCCAACACTCGTCCTCGGACTCGTCTATCAACATCCCATCCAAATGCTGCCCCATCGGCAAAAGTCCCAAAGAAAAACAGAAACCCAAACAGAAATCATGCCTTCGAAAATACTTCACTTCAAGCTTCTCTTGATTCTATGGAAATAATAGTTGAAGAATATTATGCTGTTTTCTACCCAGATAAATGGTACTTGGGTAGAATATTGCATAGTACAGAAGATGGGTTTTATGTAAAGTTCTTAAAAACTGTATTGACCGACTTTGTTTGGCCCAAGAATAGCGACGAACGACGAGGCGTTGGTGGAATATTTTCTATGGTACGATTCAGATGCAGGGGGTCGTTCCTATGACAATTTGCGACCAGGACCGCCAAAATATTCACAGTTTGTATAAACAATTTAAACGAGAATTTAATAAAGAATAGAGTAAATCACAATTTCACTTTTTATTTAAATTTGTTATTTTAATACTGTTTCTGGTTTCCCCAAGTTATTAAATCCGTTAGGTACTTATAGTTGAGTACGCAAAAATTTGAAATAAGTTAACGAAAGTAAATCTAATATCTGAGGGATCGTTTGAGTGTTGTAAACCTTTATAAATATTTCCAGGTGGTACTAAATATTGAGAATAATTCATTTATTAACCTATTACGTAGTAATTTTCCAGGTAATTTCATTATTTTACACCTTATTGAAAACCTTACTTTCTGACGGTATGACCTCTAGTGTAATAGTAATACGTATTTGCTGTGATAAAGTTTTAGTAGGTAGTGAATTGTTTTATATCACATCAGTTTGAATAGCTATATAAAGTTTTTATCTGCTTCATCCAAAATTTACTTAAAGATTTGCAAAATTGAATACCTAACATTTACAAAATTTACTAATTATTTAATAAATTTACCAATATTTACAAAATTTACTCAATATTTACAAAATTTACTCAATATTTACTATATTTACCAAATATTTACAAAATTTACTAAAAATTTATTATATTTACAAAATTTACTAAATATTTACTCGCAATTATAATATTTACTCAGACTTGTACACCATATTTACTAAGTGGTTGACCCTCGACTAGCACTGTAAATCTGTTAAGTGAAAAGTATTAAAAATGGTGTAACATTTGTTGTGGTGCTATGCTATGAAGAAAAAGTAAGTAATATTTACTCAAAACTTTTTCAGTTTGAGAGACTTGGTGATCTGGATTAACTTCCGAAAATGCCAAAGAATTTACTACACAACTTTTGATTAGCACCTGTAATAAATCTTGAGCGTGAATGGAAAAATTTGACATGAAATCTCTACCTGGATCGCACAAAGGATTCGAATAAACGCACAATTAATTTTTTGACAGTGACAAAAATTTGTTCGAAATTTAGCGGAAACAAATTTACACGCCCCTTAAACGTCGCGGAAGTCGCAGCAGCAGCCCCGTTTTTACGTTGAGTCCAGTATTTAAGGGAACACCACTTCCACTGTAAAATAATCTCCTTTTTCAGGATTTTCAAAAACACTGCCAATCACAATTAGACTTGATAGCGCCAATTTCGATAGAACGCGCTATTTATGCCAAAAGTAACGCGCACAACGTCAAACACCTGCATCTTCTAACAGCGATAATAACACGTGTGTTAATTAAATTTCGTCCGATAAAACTCCTTATCGCAATCGACCAGTTGTGTCTTACTTACAGCATCTTATCTAAATTGAATAAATATAAATAAAATTTAAACAAGGAAATATTATGCAATTACAAAGAATTCTAAAAGGAATAACAGCAACGAGATACAAATTCAAATACAATAAACCAACTTTGCACTTATACGAAAATAGTTCTCCAGATTTACACTTAATATATTGAAATCTCATCTAAATTGAATAAATATAAATATAAATAAAATTTAAACAAGAAAATATTATGCAATTACAAACAATTCTAAAAGGAATAACAGCAACGAGATATAAATTCAAATACAATAAACCAACTTTGCATTTATACGAAAATAATTCTCCAGATTTACACTTAATATATTGAAATCTCATACACAGGGTGTCCCATCATTATTCTTGGTGTTTAGACCGAAAGAACGTCTACATGATGCTGTTTACATAACAATATGTATTTAACTTACTTGCTTACGTCGTTTCCAGAAACTTTCCAGCAATCTAAGTCTAGCATCCCTTAACAATACCTTAATTTGAAGTTAAACAATTAATATAGTCGCCGATATTACCGTTTATATTTTATGCAGTAGGTTAGAGGAGCGCCATACTCACAATATCTAAGTTGGGTTCTGAAAATTTGGATAAAATCGGGAGTGCCATGCTGTACAATATAATTGAAAGTTAAATACATAGCGAACATAGGTCGTAACGTAACCCACCTGGGGTTTCAGTACTAAATTTACAGTGGGTTTCGTTTAATCGTCACTGAAATAGCAAAAGGCGAATACCCCCATTACCCGAGCTTAATAACACAATTGGAACTCCTTTCGCATCATCCGCAATCCACAAGTTAGCATTGGGGCCTTAATATGAAACAGCAAATTTTCAAACTATGAACCGCGGTGTTGATTGTTATTATTAAAAAGACAATCAGCTTTGTGCTCAAAATAATTCGTAGGGTGTAAATCCCTTCGAAATTAAATAGGAATTAAATATCGAAATGTTTTTCTGCGTTGTGTGCGCCTGAGGATTTAATTTCGGCCATGTTTGTCTCGTAAAAACCAATAACGTCGGTTTGGTGTGGATATCTTTGAGTTCGCTATACGGGACACGATGCTGCCCTAGGCAGACTGAGCTAACAAACTATTCACACGAAATGTATTTGGTCTTTTTGGATAATAAATTAAAGTTAGCTGCGGTTTTGCTAGGATTACTCCTTTTTATTACATTCAAGATTAGAGGTGAACCTCCTTTATATGTGTAATATATAGCAAATCTCTTTCGTTTTTATCGTTTTGTCATTGTGTGTCTTCACGTCGTTATTGAAATTGAACTTTTGATCCTATAATTCAGTCTTCCCCGGCTCGTATAATATATAAAAGCTACTTAGGGTTGTTTATTAAAAATAGAAGCGATGTTTTGTTTCTGGAACGTATAAATTGCTAAAAAGGAAGAAAAAGTTAAAAACCGAATACACCACTTGGTAATCGCGCAGAATTATCTATACTCATTTTATGTACCGGGTGTTCCAAAATGTCTATACTAATTACAATAAATTTGGGATGATAAATAAGAAAGAAAGTTTGCTGATACCACTTGGAAGCCTGTTAAGGGCAGATCCAGATTAATCCTTTAAGAATTTGGGTATCAGGGCCATGTTAATTTTTGAAAAAAATCATTACTTGTCCATGTGGAAAAAATTACGTGGTGAAGAAGTCAAATTGTCACCTTTGGAGCGTCTTAAAAAAGCGAATTGTAGTTCCACAATACTCAGCATAAATTGAGTGTATAAGTTGTGATCGATAGCAAAAAGGTGCCAGTTAACAAGAAATTAAAGCTTATTATAAAACTGATTTAAGGAATATGTATGTATTCCATTATGGGAGCGCAAAAAACCCATAATCGCGCAAATTCCATTCAGTAAAGGGCACAGTCTGTTATTAAAACAAACACGTGTATAAGCGAATTCCTTGCAAAACTTGACCAAAAAAAGAGAAGTAAAAATTGTAACAAAGAAAACTGTTAGTAAAATCAAATTATATTAAAGTTATTTATTAGTGTCACAAAAACAACAAGGCAGTTGAATGTAAAGGCACCATCTACGGTGTTTCCTCAAAATGAAATCAAAACGTAATAAAAACCCAGTTAATGTAAATATGTATACAAAACGCACTTCCGGAACTAAATTATACTGATCAGCAAAAGAACCAACATTGAGAGCTGACCTGTATTATACAATGAATCTTCAATTGTCAACAAATTGTTTGCAGTGTTGGGTCCTTTGCTCCATTTGGAGATTATTGCTGGAATTGCTTCGATATTTATAATTCTACGTACATTACTTTGTCGTTACGAAAATTTCACCTACTCGACAACGAGACCTGATTTAAGCTACATTACCTGCGTTATTTTTGTCACTCCGAAGATGCATTCGTGTTATCTTATTCATATTTTGAATTATTTAGATTATTACTTGTACGGAAATTTAGTTATGTGTGCATCGTAAAGTTGTTTTCTTGAAGTTAACGTCACGCTTATACTTCTTGATGTCTCGCCGATTTGTATACTAATTCAAAATTAACCCTTCCCAGCTACAATAAGAACCTTTGTTGATGATACAGTTATACTCAAAAAATGAAAACCCGAACAAACACAAAAATGGAAAATCAAAATTAATGAAACTAAATCCAGTCGAATAAATTTCACCTTAACGGAGCAGTGTCCTGGAGTCTCTCGCAATGGAGTTCAAATTCCCCAGTTTACAACCACAAAATACATAGGAATACATTAGGATCAAAAAATAACTTCAAAAGAGCACATAAAGAAGACAAGGTAACAAGTAGATCTAAAGTTAATGCAATGCAGTGGCTAATTGGAAGGAGATCTATGCTATCCCTAAAAAATAAAATCTTGCTCTGCAAAACAATCATTAAACTGTGTACGGAATAGAACTTTGGGAATGTGCAAGCAAATCTAACTTGACAATCATACAGAGAAGTCAATCAAAAATCCTATATATATATATCAGCTAATGCTCCCTGGTATGTTCCAAACCAATCAATTCACGAAGACCTCAACATGCCAATGGTTAGAGATGTCATCAAAGACAAAAGCAGACACTACCACGTTAAACTCCAAATTCACGTAAACTCACTTCTGCATCAACTACTAGAACAAAAGATTCCTAGAAGACTCATGAGAAACTGGCCTATCGATCTAAAGCAACTTTAGGGGAGCCCTTTCACTGGAGAAGGTTCCAAACGTCGTGGAAGAAATGCAAATACTAGTTATTAAGTCAAAACGTTAGCCCATAGAATGTAAAGCTCTGATTGCTAATTGGAACATTAAAAAAAACATTATATTAAGGCCTTAGAGCATAATCCGATATACAAAAAGGTTTATTAGAGATAGGTACAGGTTAGCGCATTTGCTGAATTTTTCGTAATTTTCCAAATGAGGCAAAATTTCAAAATTATATTTTTTAGCTATAGATGAAAGTAAAAACATGCATATATATTACACAAGGTGAACATAAGAAGTCAATTTATTTGGGAAAGCCGTAAAAAAAGTTAAAAAAAAGTGCAAATTATTCAGAAATCCTACAAAGTTATATTAAAAAAGTTACAGACAGTTTTCGAAATATAATTGAAAAACTAAAAAGGTTGCTAGTGCTGCCATGTTCAAAGAAATTTCGTCGATGACAATTTTTTTAATAAAATC